CCATAGAAGGGGACCCCAATGCCACCAGCACACTTTTCGGGGGGGGAGGTTATTCCATTTCATCTTCACAGCCAGCCTGAGAAGGAGACCCCATTATCATACCCATTTACAGATGAGGAAGTTGAGGATCAGCGAAGTTAGTAACTTGCCCAAGAGCGCATGGCTATAGGTGAGATCCAGGATTCAAACTCGGGTTTTACACTAAGCTACAGTGTGCCCACCCCCACGTCCTACGTGTCAGGACCTGCGTTGGGGAGGCATGTCTGTTGGCCCATGGAATATGAATCCAGCACTTCCAAGGGATAGACTCAATGGCAGGGAAGGTGATGTCACTGTGGGACCAGGCCATCCTGGCTTTCCCGCCTCCCGGCTCTGTGCCCTCAGGCCAGCAGTATCTCACACTCTGGCCAGAATAGCTTCCCCCGAGGGGGCCTAGTGACTCCCAGCTAGGGGGACAGCAGCCTGGGGCTTGGACAAAAGATGCCTCCCTGCATCCTGGCCAGGACACCAGGCTTCCGTCGCTGGGGGCCTGTAAGGCTGCCAGGTAGGAGGGACAGGGGCTTACAAGAGGGGTTTTTGCCTGGGCTGGGAGCTCTAGTGATCTGGGATGAAGGCCCCAAAGGACACAATCTACCAGGAGAAAAAAAAAAGAACACACACACACACACACACACACACACACAAACACACACACTCACACACACACATGCACAGAAACACACACACTCACACACACACACAAGACTAACCTTCAACAACCCTTCCCTAGCAAAGCTCCAACCTCCAATACTTTATTTCAAATTCAAAAGAAATGTACAAATAATGAGATCCACCACCTCCCAGAGCAGAGCCTGAAGGGAATCCAGAAAGTCTGATCAGAAATCTGGGTCTGAGAGGAGACCTGTAAACTAAGCTGGTGGCCAGTCCCGAGAGCCTGAACAACTGCCAGACTGCCCCACGAGGGACAAGGTGGGAGGCAGGGTGGTCTGTGTCTCCAGGGCAAATTCAGATCCAGCTGCGGTCCATCCAGTGGGCTGAGGCTGTGCAGCCTGGCTAGTGAAGCCCAAGGCCCATCCTGTTGTCTCAGGGCAGCAAGCTAACCAGGGTGGGGCTCCGGGGGCGCCACCTGCAAAGACGTATCTCAGTCAAGATGAGGTGGGAGGCGGCTTCACTATCCTTTCCCAAGGGGGCCAGGCCCAGCCTGCCATCCTGGCCTGCCAGGTGCAGCCTGGAGGTGGCACAGATTGGCACACAGCAGCCAAGCAGAGTGACCACAGGCACCTCCCAGCCCCGCATAGGCTGCTCTCTGCCCACATGTCCAGACCAGCTGTGTCCTGAAGACCCTGCTCAGCTGTGGCCTGTGGGGAGGTGCCCTCCCCAATCCCGTTCCTCACCATCCCCCTCAGGTCCCACAGCCATTTGCTCTCTCCAGTCTGGCCCCACCGGTTCCTGGGCTCCGGGAGCCCCTGAGCAGGGCTGGGCATGAAGTGCCCTCCCACACCACACACAGAGGACAGCCCCAGCTGCAGTGGACAGAGCCCAGCACCTCAGGACTACAGGAAAACCTGCTTGACCCCATTTTAAAAGGCAGGTGAGGCCAACCCTCTGCCCCGCCTCACTGACAGTAGTGATTCTGATTGGCTGTCATTTTTAAGCAGGGGTGGCCTTTTACCAACTCAGCTAGAAGTGAGAATGGCATGGTTCTGGGTAAAGCCCATGAGGGGCCTTGGCAGGCATTCTGACCAGACGCGTGCCCTTCTCACCTCGCTCCTTGGTGGTAGCATGTCACTCCTGCATCTAAAATGATCCCATTGTTGCCTGAATCATTTCCACCTCAGTGAGTCCCTGGGGGCAGGGGGAAGCCTGCTGTCAGGGCCTGGGTTCCCAGGTGCAGAAGGCGGCCAGGAAAGGGCCACATCATGGCTGGGCTGCATGTGGGCCCTGACTCCACCCTCCCGTGCCCTTGACCCTCGGCAGACACTAACCTGGCTCCTCAAAGGTGGGCTGGCAGGTTCTGTCTCAGGAGCTTGGATTTTCAACTGTAAGCCCACTCCATCCTCCGTGGGCCTGGAGAGATCCTTGGGCAGTCAAGTCATTCTGTGTCAAGCCCTGGTGACCTGGCTCCCCCACTCCCATGATCCCCTGGGCCCCATGAGCCCTGGCCCATGTCAGGTCAGGTATGCAGGACCGGGGCAAATAGGCCCACAGCCTCACAGCCCCTGCCATTTCCCACCAGTGGGAGACCCCACCACAGGCTCCTCTACCCACCGTCCCTGCCCTCCCTTCGTTGAGTAACTGCACCAGCTGAAAATAAATCCTTAAACCAAAGGAATGAGGTAATAATGGTGCAAGTTCAGGACTGTGACATATTTGGGGACAGGGGCCACCTGTTTTCCCACTCCCGAGGCCACCCCAGACACAGTGACAGACGGAGCCACGCTCAGACACACCTGCGGCCTTTCTTACAGCTCAGCTCCCTGGTGCCGAGGTGAGCCCCTTCCGCACGTGAGCGCAGTGAGGGCACGTGCAGCCGGTCTCATTTCCCAGGGAACCCAGACCTGGCACAGAATATGGCCTCGAGGGACTCGTGCACAACCGCCTCGCTGGCTGGCTGGCTGGCGAGCTGCAGGAAGACCGCAGGCCTCAGCCAGCCCTGCTTTGACCTCAGCCTCTGCTCTGTCGTCCAACCCGAGGACGTCAGCCACAGCCCGGCCACACGTCTGCGCTTTCGTCCATGCGTGAAGGCTCAGCAAGGCCAGGTGCCGAACGGTGTGGCAGACAGGAAGCCTTTGGCAGCGTCAGGTCCCGTCTCTAAAGACCCAGCTGAACCGTCACCTGGGCCCCGCTTCATGTCAAGGACTCCTCGTCTCAGCTCTGCTTTCAAGTAAAGCCACCACGACTCTAGGGGAAGTCACAGCGGAGTCTGAAGAGACTGGACAGAGATGATTTTTACAGAAAAATCAGGCCCTCCCTTGTACACGGTGCTGAAACTGCCCCAAAGTTCAGCGCCCAATATGCAGATGTGGCCCGTGGGAATCAAGCCCTTAAAAACCAGTCCAGCTGCCCCTAGCAAGTCCCCAGGCTGAAGTCCTGCATCTGCTGGCAGCTGACAGCACAGACGTGTCCACGGCTGCCAGTGGGTCCAAAGGGCATGGGGCCCCCACTGTCCCTGGTAGGGGGGCTGAGTCCAGGGGGCAGGGCAGCCCTTGGGGCCACAACTCCTCACTCTGGGGCTGTGCTGGGGCAGCCGCAGCAGCTGGGGCGCCTCAGCGACTGCATGACAGCCCGCAGCGGCCCCCTCCGGCCCTCTGAGGACAGGCTGTCCTCACTGGCAGGTGCCAGCTGCAGCTGCTCAAACTGCATCTCCAGGTGCTTCTGAATGGCCACACCAAGCACCTCAGGGTCCACTGCAGCCCCGTACACCTCCCACGTCATGCCTTCAGCATCCCACCTCACATCCCGCACCGGGGACGGCGCCTCCTCCAGCCTGGACCCCAGAGTCACCTCCGGGAATGGGTGCAGGGCCACCGGGACTTCCAGGGGCGGGCTGGTGGCCACAGCCTTGCACACTGCCATGGGGGCCACCTGCACACCAGCATCCTGGGCTGACAGAGGGGACACCAGCACTGGGGCCAAGTCACTGGCTGAGGTCATGGTCCACACATCTTTGGTCCTCGCGCCAGGCTCCATAGCTGAGCCAGTGGGACCCCAAGGATGGGCACAGCAGGGGGAATGCCCAGGATGCCCCCCGGGTAACCCACACTGGAACTTCATGCCACGCTGAGCCTGCAGCCCAGACTCACTCACTGATGCTACTAGTTTGGGAAAGGCCAGGATCCCCGGGGCAGGCAGAGCATGGCAGGAGCCTCGGGCGCCCTCCTCCCTCATGTCACAGAGTAGAGCTGCTGGGGGCAGAGCACGGCAGGAGGTGGCGGCTGACTGCCCAGTGGCTTTGGGCCTGGCCTCGGGGCTGCTGCTGTGAGTGGGTGTGCCTCCCAGGTCGACTGGCGACACCCACACCTGACTCTCTCCCAGGGTCCAGGCTGAGCTTGACGTCCCATCCTCTGGAGCCAGGTCCCTTCCCGGGCCTGCAGGGGCCTGCCCTCCCTGGCCAGAAGTGCCGCCAGGCTGCAGCCGTGCCTGTGGACCGGCGAGCTGCCCAGGGCTGAGCAGCTGAGGCTGGCCCTCCGAGTCCCACTGTGGCCCCGGGTCTGTGGGCGGACCAGATCTGAGTGGCTCCTCTGCACGGCAGCGGCGCTGGGGACCCTCAGGCGACACAGGTCACCACCATCCACAGTAGACACGTTGCCCACCGTGCTGCTCCGCCAGTGGCCTGTGACACCAGGCTGTGGCCCAGGGCGGGGGCCCTGTGCCTGCTCCGTGCTCTCAGCTGGGTGCCCCTCTTCCTCCTGGACCTGGGGACTGGTGCTGGCGCCCCGCTGGGCCTGCCAGACAGTGCTGCTGGCACTCTTTCGGAGCTCCGGCCTCTGTCCCCGGCCGTCACCCAGCAGGCTGGACGAGCTCCGGGACAGGGATCTTGGCTGGGGGCTCCGTGCCCGGGCACCGGGCTCAGGGTGGCTGGTGCTCATGGCTGCCTGTGGAGAGAGAGAAGGAGCTGGTGAGTGGCAGGGCTCCTGGAGACTCCGCTGTGGGCTCACAGGGGCCAGGCCGGGCCGCTGAGTCCCACCCGCCTCATGCATCAGAGAAATAAGCACAGCAGTGACAGGACACCAGGCCCTGGAAGTCCAGGGCATCACATGGTCCAGGAACGGCACTACAAATAGCAAACAGCCAGAAACACACCAGGCCAGGACGGGCGCTACTGCTGGGTCGCGGATGGAGGGAGCCGGGGAAGAGGCCAAGCAGGGCCTTTGGGTGGGGCTTTGAGACAACAGCTCTTAGTCAATCAGCACATTAGCATTGCAGCATTTTCATAACCAGTAAAGCTCGACTGACAAATACCAACCTGGCTCCTCCCAGGCCTGTCAGTACCCATCGGGCTCTGAACTGGGGACTCCTTGGGACACAGTGGGGCCCAGAGGTGTGTGGGATGGATAAGCAGCACGCGGACACAGTGAGAACTGCCTGGCTCTCCCTTGGCCGACCCTGCTCTCTCCGGCCCAGCCTGGCGGAGCTGTCACGTCCCTGGAACTCAGTCTTTAGCTGTGAAGGGGCAGCGTGTCCTGACCCCCACTCTGGCTCCAGGGGCAAGGAGAGGCCCCACACCAGCCCTCACACGCAGCACTCACTCAGCTTTGTTCATTCCTCAGCCAGCTCCTGAGAGCTTATTGCATTGCAGGCTCTGACTCATTTAGATCCAGCTATGCCCTGGGAATGGGTCCCAAACCACCAATCAGACACACCCTCCATAAAGTTTACACTCCTTCTAGTTTACACTCCTTCTTGCAAAGGGGCCCCTCCCTCCCTGCCGTTCCTGGCCCTTCCTCCAGCTGCACAGACCCCTCGGGACGGACAGCCCACTGACCCATCTGCACCGGCCTTCACCTCAGCATCCTGCAGGGAAGCTCCCCTGAGCTGGGCTGGCACCAGGTCTGCCTGGATGGAGAGTCTGGCCAAGCGTGGGCTTCCGACCAGCCTGAGGCTGTGGAAGCAGCCGGGGCTGCTGTCCTGTGTGGCCAGCACGCGGCACTGACCTGACGTGCAGCTGACGCTGAGGGAACGTGTGCTGCATGCCCAGCCAAGAGGAGTGAGCACCAGAGCAAACCAGGCAGGAAAGTGCTGAGCACCAGAAACAAGGTCTGAGGGAGGGCCTTGCCAAGCAAGAGAGCGAACTTGTGTGATGGGTCAGAAAGGGCTTCCTGGAGGCCCAGGCATGCCAGGGGGGAGAGGGAAAGGGCCCGTGGGTAAGGAATGGGGCGGGGGCAGCAGGCATGGGCGAGGCAGGGCCCCAGCAGTGAGGTCAGGCATCTGGGCCAGCCTAGCCTTTGCAAAGCTGTGAATTAGGAACATCACTCTGGGACTCCCTGCCTGGCAAGATGAGCTGGAGAAACAGGACAAGGACAGCCGGCAACAGGGACAGTTTGGGCAACCCCAGTCCTGCCCTCCCACCGCTGGGCTGGTAAGAACTGCCAAAACACTAACCACCCTAGCCAGGTGAGCAAGGCCACCTGGCTGGGAGCACGGGGAGGCCCCAGGAACTCAGTTTCTGTGTGACCACAGACTTCTTGCTGTCCATGCTCAGCAGGTGGCTGGTGGCTGTTCGAGCCACCGGTGAGGATGTTTCGAGGCTGCGGTGCCCTGAGAGCTCCAGGTTGGCTGTGGAGTCCAGCTCAGCACAGCTTCCTGCGACGAAAGATTCTACCCTGCACTGTCCAACACAGTAGGCACGGGCCACAGGTGATCAGTGACGACTGCACTACACAGAGCAGGTCCAGACCAGCCCTAGCCTGGGCAGGAGTGGCCCATCCTGGCTGCTCCTTGGGGCCAACACCAGCGTGGTCCCTGGAAGGATCATGAAAAGGATGAGTAGCCAAGAGAGGCCATGACCCAGGCCCTGCCCTCAAGGATGTGATGATGGACAGAGAAATAGAAAAGGGCAACAAAGCAGTAACAATCACAGTGATGATGATGATGATGATGATGATGATGATGATGATAGCTCCCAGCACCAAATCACCCCCCAGGTGCCAGGATGCACCACATCCTTTCCAGCACTGTCTGTTAGTTGTCAGAGCAACTTCATGAGATACATCATCATTACCATTCCACAGACAAGAAGGCCAAAGCTCAGAGGGTTCAGTGACTCACCCAAGAGGGAGGACAGGAAGTGCACTGCTGGCTAGGAAGGCTGTGGTCGGTGGGCAGACAACCACCCAGCTGAAGGTCCAAGAACACCAAGAAGGCCCCATCTGGACAGCCTACCCAGCCTCTGGCTGAGCTCCACTACCCTGGACCCTCCTAGGGAGCAAGGCCTTAAAGAACCAAGCCAGGCCCTGGCCCCCCGAGGAAGCGGGAGGAATGAGGCTGGGGTGCCATCATACCCTACCCGGCACAATGAGAAGCCATCAGTGACAAGAGCCCCCTGTGCTTGCCTCACCAGGGGGCTACCCAGTGACCAGGGCTAGCAGTGACCCAGAGAACAGTGATGACAAAGACCCAGAGGAGTGGGGGTGTGATGCATCTGTTGACTCCTTTCCTCATCCACTCCACAAGTGGCAGGTGACAAAGCTGAGACCTGGAACAGCTCAGAAATGTCCAAGAACCCAGAGCTGAACTCCGACAGCGAATTCCTCCTACCACCTGGCCTTCCCAGCCCTAACAGAAGGAAGGGCTCTGAGGCAAATAACCAGGCCACCTCCAAGGAAAGGAGGTGTCCCACACCCTCCATTGCAAAGAAAGGGGCCTCGCAGGGAGTGATGGGAGCTGACCCCTGTGCAGCCAGCCCGGGGTGAGCAGGCAGCAAGACGCCTGCTTCCCACCCTGGCTCTTCCTCTTCCTTCAGGTGGACGCCTAACCTCTTTGAGCCTCAGTTTCCCCAATCTGAAAAGCAGGGTAAAGGAGTAAGTCCCACCCTGCAGGGTTTTGTGGAGACTAAATGTGGTGTCTGGAACGACTGTGAATAACTTTCTCCCCCTTCCAACAGGAGTGGCTTTGCTCACGGTGCCATGGGGACTGGCTCTGGCGGGGCCTCTGAGGAAGCCGCTAAGGCACCTAGTCTCACTCCCAATCGCTCCCACCTTCGTGCCATCCTAGGACCCGGCCAGCACCAGTGTCCCCAGCGCCTCCATCGCCACACTGTTTCCCAGTCTATTTGAACCTAACTTGGGAGGATATGCACACACAGGCAGGCACTCGTGTACGACATACACACAGGTTTGCAGTCAGCATTCTAAACACCCAGAATGGCATGCCCGTCTGCCTTAAAAGCCATGGAGAAGGCTCTGGTTTCACCCTAAGGGTCCCTGGGAAGATGTTTTGGGACAAGATAAAGGACAGGAACATAGAGGTAGCCAAGACCCCTGGTGCTCGGTGGATGACACTAATGTTCTCTCTCCTGCTCCAACTGATGCCAACGTTGTCAGTGGCCAATGCTCGTGGCCAGCGCAGGAGTTCCTGCTGCTGTGGTTCTGCTCGGAGGAGCAGCCAGGTTCCCGCGCAGCATCAACCAATGTCACTCAGTAAAAGCTCCCGGGTCTGCAGAAACCCCAGGCTGACCTGACCAAAGAGACGGCTGGGTCTCTTGGTCAGAGATTCCAACTCTTGCTATGTGGCCGCAGCACAGGAGCCAGGCCTCTTGGTGTGCGCCAAGGGGAACGACCCAGGCAGGCCCCATCTCAGACCACGCTTGGCGCATCCACACAAGGCCCCCCTTCTGCTTCCAGCAACAACAGGAAAGGCAAACGTAAGTAGTCAGGAGGGAAAACTGTTAAACATGGGCCTTAGCCCCCAGGCACCGGCTACAGCAACCACCTGAGAAATCCCTCATTGCAGAACGGGGTGTGGCAACCTTCACCCAGCAGCACACGCCTGAGGAAGGCTGGGGGCCAGCTGGGCACTGCCGCAGGAACACCCCCGAGAGGGAGTGTCTGGAGGGAACAAAGCCTGTCCATCACAGAGAGCAGCCTTCATGACCGAGCTGCCCAGGGGAAAAGCTGTGCCAGGAAAGGGTTCCCGGGCAACCCTGGGTTAGACGCCCAAGGACCCACCCGCTTGAGGGCCTGCCCGCACTTCCCTAGAGGCACCCGGAGAAGGTGCGGCTCCAGGCCCAGCCGCCCCAAACCAGGTGGCTGGCGTGCCCCCACCCGCATGCTCGCGGGCACCCATGCACCCAGGGGCCCGGGCCCCACCCAGAGACACGCCAGGGGTGGGCGCACAGGCCCTCTTGCTGTGCCAGCCGCGGGAAGCAGCGTCTACACAGTCGCATTCTGCACACCACCCGCACGGCCGCGGGCTCGGGGCCGAGGCCCAACACACCGCACCGCACCGCACCCTCCCCAGGGCCGGCGCCCCGCTCCGCCCTCCCGCACAAGCCGCCCCGACTCACGGCCAGGCCCTCCACACATGCCCAGAACTAGGCTGCCGACCTGGCAGCAGCAAGGCCGTGCCTGCAGGAAGATGGGGCCGCGGGTCGGGGAGGGCGAAGGGCAGGGGGACCAGAGCGAAGGGAGGTTTGGGGCCGGGGCTGGGGCGGGGTGCGGGGGGCGGGGTGCGGCGGGGCGGGCGGAGGGAAAGGAGGAGGACGGAGCAGACAGAGCGCGCGGAGCAAGGGTGAGGGCCGGGACGGGTCCTGGGCGGAGTAATCTGGAGGACGGGCAGGACGACAGTCGAGGGGATGGGCCTGGGAGTGAGGGCGGCGGGAGGGGGTGCGTCGGGCGCTCGCTGGCGCGGGGAAGGGGAGGGTGGGTTCTGCGGGAGGGTCTCGCCTGCAGCAGCTTCATCTTCGGCGCTCGGCGCGGGCCGGCGGGGGCGCTTCTTCTGCGGCACAGGTGCTCTGGCGCGGGGGCCCAGGATGGAGCGGGGCGGGGCGGGGCGCACACAGTCCCGCCCGCGGCCCCACCTCCCTCCTGGGCGCCCGCGGGGTCTCGGTCCCTCCGGCGACCGGGCGTCACGGCCCCTCCCCGGGTCCTTCGTCACCTTGGCTCCGCCCTTCGCTAGGCGCGGGCTTCCGACCTGCCCCCCGAACCCCAACTCCGGGGTCCGCTCTCGGGTACCAAGCCCCGCCCCCATGACTGCCCCCGCCCCAGGCCCTGGACCCCGCAGCCCCATCCTCCGGGTCCCGAGCAGTCTCGGTCCCTGGAGCGCCACCGCCACGGCCCCTCCACGCCCCGCCTCGTGCGCTGGGCCCTCTGCGCAGCCCGCGACCCCGCCTCGCAGACTCCAAACCCCCAGTGGCGCCCCCAGCCCGCCAGCCCGCACTCTCCACCCGTTCCCGCCCACGTCTGGATCCCCACCTTTGGCCCCAACCCAATTCCCCGCATTCAACCTCCAGTCCGCCGCCAGGAGCCCCAGCCGCCGGCGTGCGCCATACCCGTGCGGGGTGAGCCGCAGCCCGCAACGCCTTGCCTCGCTCCCACTCCCCCCACCTCCTCCGGAGCCCGTCCAGGCCCTGGGGACGCCCGCCACGCCCCGCCAAGCTGGGACCTTCGCGGTTCCCACGGTCATTGGCCCGGCCCTGGTTGCACAGGCTCAACAGCGGCCACAGGCTCCCCTCCCCCACCGGTCCGCCCTCAACAGGTTCCTACCACCCACCCCAGGGCCAAGCGGTAAGAGGGGTTTGTCCCATCTCTGGGCCCCAGTCTGAGATTTGGGCCCCATTGTAGGTCCTCGTCCATTGACCCCAGCTTCAGGGACCTCTGATTTCCTTGTGCAGCTGTTTGTGAGGAGTCTGCGCCCCTCTGGCCCAGTGGCCCAGGAGCCACCTCCACACTTCCACTGGTTTGGGAGGACCTCCGGCCCCAGCTTCCCCTCTGGCCTCTCCCAGCCCTGCTTGGCACCAGGGAGTCTGCAGGAAGCTCCCGGCCTGTGAGCCAGGCAGAGAGTGGAGCCCAGGCGGGAGCCTGCACCATTCAGTCCTCAGGAGCCCCCCAGACTG